GAAGCAGCGCACAGATGGCGCCTCTCTTAAGACTTATTCCTATTGAAATACATGTTTGCGTCTGTTGTGATATTGATAGTGAAGTGCCAAGAAGACTTCCGGCTTTATTCTTAAGCAGTATGCTTTGACTGAAAGAAAGTGCTTGAAATATCAATGGCATTGAAGTGGTTCTCGAACAGAAGCATCCTTCATCGTAAATTCACCGTTCACAGAACACAGTATAAGGCTGTTGGTAACATCGCGCTGACGCTGAATTCATGAGCGGGGTAGTCCAAATAAATAATTTTAAATTGTTTTGAGTAGTTGGTGATTTCTGAGGATTCTGAAGAAACGATATATATATATATATATATATATATATATATATATATATATATATATATATATATATATATATATGGCGTTCTAAATTCACATATAAACCCAAAAAAGTGGTTGAAGGGAAGGCCGCTGTGGTAGCTCAATGGTTAGAGCATCGAACGCGTTATTCGAATGTCGTAGGTTCGATTCCTGCACACTGCTGGTTATTTTTTCATCCACTTTTCTTTCTTCTCATTTACATTCCATTGGTTCTAATAACTTCCCCTGTAAATTCCTTGGCATTACTGTCTGTTAGATCATATATATATATATATATATATATATATATATATATATATATATATATATATATATATATATATATATATATATATATATATCGTCTCTTCAGAATCCTCAGAAATCACCATACAGAATGAAATGCCTGATGGCAAACACACATACTCGTATTAGAATATTACACAGCAATAATTGTAGAGGCAAAAATAACACACGTGTATGTCTTAAACAGTAATGCAATAAAAAGTCATCAACACACAGATTTTGTTCACATGTAGGCAGCGCGAAGTCATATACATAAGAGTACAAGAATGATAAAAAAAGAAATATTGAACTCGCAAAGAAGAGTGCTAACAAAACACACATTACGAGAAGAAAACGGAAGGCAATATGAATTTTGTTGAGGTTATAACTTAGTGGAACGGGAAATGATTTGTTGGCGAAATATGTCGGAATTTCGCTCGTATACACAGAAGTACGGGGGCACACTGCTCACCTGAGGGGCACGAGAAAGCACCGACGATCGAATGGAATGCGTCAGTGCTTCCGAATACGCAAGCGAAACTTGGGTGACTGTGTAGTCGGCGAGATGTGGAAGGTGAAGTTTCCGGCTGCAAGGATGCTTTTCTAACTTCCTTGCGGTAACGTAAACCAGTAATGTTGTATGAACTATTCAGCGCGACACAGTTTATATACATGCCCAAACTTTGAAGGGCCCTAGGTAACACAACTCTTTAGGAGCGAAGCTCTTTAAGGCATGGGTCTGTCCATCCCATGTATGTATGTAGTAGTAAGTTGCCAGCGGTGGCACATACCCACTCTAGAGCGCGTATGTGCCACAGGGGAAGCGAGAAGGGAGATGGCGGTGCTTGGAGTGTTCACTAGATGGACGCACGGAACACCGGACAGACAAACTAGCAGACGGACGGATGGACGCACGAACAGACAGACAGACTGGTGGATGGACGGACACATGGTCGGACGCATGGACACACAGAAGGATGCTTCGCTACACTCATCATCATTCACTACGTGGATATGCTGTGTTTTTTCCCGTGTCATTACGTCTAAATGGCTATTTATGACGTTTACATGTATTAGCACAACAGCGGATGTCGTGGCTTACTGTTGTCTCTTCCGCGATGTCCTATATTTCACCACCGTTCGCCGATCGGGGCCCCGTCCACAGACTTCTCAACTGGCTGCCTTTCTTTTACTTTCCTCTCAATCTTTGCTATCTTCTCAGGGGCGAAGCTACTTATAATGGCACCCGTTCGTTCCTCTTAGCCGTTGTAGTGTTAACATGTATAACATTTTGACCACCAAGGTGGTGCCGGCGAGAGATTTCTTCTGTGCGTAGTTGAACAATAAAAGATAATGCTCAATGTGCATGCCAATGGCTGCTAAGGGGTAATGAGAAACAGTAGCATTCGGCTTTTAGTTAACGCGCACGCTGCAATCCACATTAGCAGTCATTGGCATGTACATTGAGCACTATCTGACAAGAAAGGGTTGCTACGTTATACTCGCTGGGTGTAACCTCCTCAGTTTTAGAAAGGTTTAGCGAGCGTTGAGCCGCAGTGCCATGAATACAATGAACTAGTATATATCATGAACTCGAGGTGGTTAAATGTGGGAAGTAGATACGAAGCGCAAGCCGTAAGAAAGTAAAAGCCGAGTTTTCCTGTCTCTCATTTTCCATTAGCAGCCATTGGCATGTACATTGAGCACTATCTTACAGGAAAAGGTTGCTACATTGTGCTCGCTGGGCGTAACCTCCTTGGTTTTAGAAAGGTTTAGCGAGCGTTGGGCCACATTGCCATGAATACAGTGATCTAGTATATACCACGAACTCGAGGTGGTTAAAGGTGGGAAGTAGACCCGAAGCGCAAGCCGTAAGAAAGTAAAAGCCGAATACTCCTGTCTCTCATTTCCCATTAGCTGCCTTTGCAAGTACATTGAGCACTATCTGACAGGAAAAGGTTGCTACGTTATACTCGCTGAGCGTAACCTCCGTGGTTTTAGAAAGGTTTAGCGAACGTTGGACCGCAGTGCCATAAATACAGTGAACTAGTATATACCATGAACTCGAGGTGGTTAAAGGTGGGAAGTAGACCCGAAGCGCAAGCCGTAAGAAAGTGTGCATGTGCCACCTCTCGTTTAGTCCTTAGAATGTCCACTGGACATGTCCAGTGGACTAAAATATACGATGAAAAATGACTAAAACGATAAAGGACTAAAATATGTGATGAAAAGATGCGAGATGGTAGTACTTGGAGTGTTGAATAGATGGACGAACGGTCACACAGACAGATGCATGGATGGATGGATGAACGGACACAGGGGCGGATGCATGGACGAACGCAGGGACGGACGCACTAACAGACGCACGCACGGACTGGCGGATGGACGCATGGATGGTCACACAGACAGACGCATGGACGGACGAAAGCAAGAACGAATAGACGGACGAATGTTTCGCCTTACTCTCCATCACTCACTCCTCAGTAAGAATCAAATTCAAAGCAACTTTATTAGAGAATAAGTTACCAATACTCGTCTCTGTAAGTTATTTCATCAGAAACAACTATCTTGTTATTGATGGTTAATGTGCGCGGGTTTCCTTTTCAATTCAAAAGGGTGCACGCGTGCCACTCCTCTAGTCCGGCCGTGGAGGTGGATACCTACTACTACTACTACTACTACTACTACTACTACTACTACTACTACTACTACTACTACTACTACTAATTCTACTACTACTACTACACATATCACGGACGCACGACCCACGGCTTAGGGACCTTCGCCCCTAAAACACCAGGCCGGCGCGGAAGGCGCAGCAGTCACAGCAAACGCTAGAAGAGCGGCCTTTTTAGAGACTTTCAAAGCAGTCATTGGGTAAATACTCGGGTTTGAGCCCCACTGTGTCACTGGTGCTAGGTTTTTTTTTCTTCTAATTTTGCGTGATGTGGTTACGGACAACGGAGGCGGCGGCGGTGGCGGACAACTGCGCGTGACCCGAGTTGTGATCTCATAACCGCTTTCGCTGTAAAATACTGTGAAAATAACTTCATCATGCTTGGATATATGAAGTGAAAAAAACTTCCCTACTTTACAGACACGTGCGTCCTGGATGCAGGCTTCACAATACAACATGAACTAAGAGAGTACTATTGCGTGATACAAGCGTACATTGCTATCGGGTGTCACGTGTGATTATTATAACGACTTCATGGTTAAAACTGGCCACCCATTACAGAAGCCACACATGCTGCTGTGCGTAATCCCTTTTGTCCCAAAATATTCCATGCGCATAAGCAACCACATTCTATAGCTTCACTAACGCAAGTTCCTTTAAACTTGATTTTTTAAATTGTAGTCCCCCACAATTTAAGTTCCCTGAGTAAGATCATACAATAGGGTAAGCACTAAGAGGTTGAAGTACCATGGACAGTATATCACTATCGCGTTCAACTTTCAAGGGCGAAGCTTAAAATTCACCCAATTTTTTTTTTGGTATTGTGAAGAAGTAATTCACTAGTTCGAACAAAATCGCTCTTCTCTTTAGCGTCCCTTTAAGCGACAAGCAATTGCATTTTTTAACTTCCCTGGAGGCATGGGCCATTATTTAATTAGCGAGATTGTTCTCTAGTGAGACAGTTTCGTTTGGTGTGTGAGTTTTGTGTGCAAGTTGTATGCGACCCTGCCGCAAGGCAAACGTCTCCAGTAATCATTACACTCCCGCCCCATTTCTGTGTCTCTAACGCTTCTCCCACACTTTATAAATAAGGCTGCGGCCCTCAGACGCTGTTAATTTCACTCGGCGTGGCATACACGCCCTAATGTAAGACTTGAATAATGTCGCTGGCAACTGGCCACTTATTTTAAGGGGCATAGCGTGTTCTTGTTTACTACGTAATAGTATCACAATTGTATTCGATAATTGTTCGAAAGCCTCAAAAGAAATGTTCCAAAGCCTTCATTGTGAGACGAAAAGAAACTGACAGGCTATAGTCTCGCCAATCATATACAGAGGTGACGAAAAGCAGAAAAACCTTGCTCCTCCCAATTATTCAAGTGGTCCTGAATGCTTACCCATTACGCTGTAGAGATTGCGCCCTTGTTGCACGAACGCTAAAGGGTCTAGACATTCATAAAATACGGCCGAAGGTCTGTTCTGAATGCTGCCGGGAGCGTCGACTGAAGATAACACGGGTAATGGAGGAAAATGGTAGCCGTTCCGTCGTAGTAAACAGTGGTACTTCCGCCTGAACTTCGGCGAAGGCCAATAATTTGTCTACCCTCGATGTTATAGGATGTGAGACAATATACGACCACGTGCCGGAGCGAGCGAGGTCTTTCGCCAGTGCACCTTGACACACACGAGGCTATATTGCGCGAGCTGCGCCACTCGCCGGTATAGGAGCAGGATGACCGTTATGGAAGTGGGCCTTCTGGCCACTGTGCTGGCCGCCGCTGTTTTTCTCGCCGCTGCGGACGATTTTCCTCGAGTGCGAATCGACTCCGGATTAGTTGTGGGCACGAGAGTGCCAGCTGATGGAACAGAGGTGGACGCTTTCCTCGGAATACCGTACGCGGAGCCTCCAATAGGCGAGCTTCGTTTTAGGAGACCTCGACCCGTGCCGTCGTGGGAAGGCACTTACAACGCGACAACAAAGCCCCGCGCCTGCCGGCAGGTGCCATTCGACTTGCTTGGTCCTCTGGCGCTCGACTATTCAGGTGCGTCAGAGGACTGCCTGTACGTGAACTTGTGGCGGCCAGCCAGGCGCCAGAAGAGCGCGAGGTCGCGGGAAGGTGACACCCACCGCGACGCGCTTCTTCCCACGGTTGTTTTCATCCACGGGGGTGCATTCCAGTGGGGTGACTCGGCGCTGTTCCTCTACGACCCGGCAAACTTTGTTGCCCTCACGGGTGACGTCGTATTTGTGACGTTCAATTACAGGGTCAGCATGTTCGGCTTCTTGGACACTGAGGATCCCAAGCGAGAGTCTGGAGGCAACTTGGGCTTGTGGGACCAAAACCTCTTGCTCAAGTGGGTACAAAGCAATATCGCCTACTTCGGTGGCGATCCCAAGCGAGTAACCCTGTGGGGCCAGAGCGCTGGTGCCATGTCAGTAGCACTGCATGCGCAGTCTCCTCACAGCACAGGTCTTTTCCAGAAGGCTATATTGCAGAGTGGAGCTCCGTTTTCCCTGGTCCTGAACAGAGTCTTCAACCCACGGGGAAACTTTAAGAGTATGGTGTGGAAGTTGGGCTGCTACAACGCTACCAAAGAAAGTGCAGGCGACACGTTAAGTGACGTGATGCGCTGTCTCCGAAGAGCTGAAGCGTCAAGTGTGATTGAAAATATAGAGTCGACGCCAATTCTGAAGCGGTGGTTCGTTCCTATTGAAAACGACTCTTTCTTTCCTGGACCATTCATGTCACCGAGCTCGTGGAAACCATTCGGAGTTCGGGATGTTTTGGTTGGCACAACGGCGAACGAAGGCACCATGTTCTACAACATGGTACTCAGCGCATATCCCGGACTTTCAGATGCTCAACCCGAAGAGTACAAAATGCTGGCAACAGCCGCACTGTCGCGGATGTTCGGGATGCCGTTATCCAAAGCGCGGTTGCTCGCGGATTTCTATTTCGGCAAGGACGATGCCGGTCGTAACTACGAAGAAGCCAGGGACACCGTAGCCGAGCTCGTCGGGGACGCATTCATGGACTGCCCGACTGAACTGTTCGCTCAGTCAGCCGCGGAGAACGGTGTTCGTGTTTACCGGTACTTATTCGCTCACAAGGCTTCCCACAGCTTCGTGCCGGCGTGGATGGGCGTGGCGCACGCTGCGGACCTGCTGTACACGCTGGGATCACTGCCATTCATGAAGGACGAAGGTCGCTACACGGAACCCTTAGGCAATATCGGAAAGAGGTTCTTGCAGACACAGGACTACACGAAGGAAGAAGAAAAGCTGATGAGGGAGTTGGTCCATGCTTTCGCCCAATTTATTCGGAAGGAGTAAGTACCATCAAGATTATTTTATTACATTCAAATTATATCCATACTATATAGAAGGAGTGCCCTATTATAAACAACACAGCTGAAACGAGCGCGAAGGATGAGTTTGATAACCTTAGATCCTGCGCCAACTTTAACGAATGCTATTGTTTAAGTTGGCGATACTCTATTGGCCATATTATACGCAAAAAATGTTTTTCCTGTACCTTTGCGCGTTCAAATATTTAAGTCATCTCATCATAATTCAATAAAAGAACTGATAGAGCAAACCAGGTAAATGATCACTGTGATATTGTAGAATTGAAAAATTCGTCTGCATACAATAACACCCTACAAAATAAAATTATAAAATTGCTAACAATGTACATATCAACGTAAAAGTTTACTTACGATAAACGTGTTTGTAAATAATAAATCATCGTCAAAATGATGTGCACTAGTTTGATGTCGGCTTTGGAAACACGGATGAGCAATGATTGTTTAACGCTTGCTAATATTAGCCGCGTTCTGCTCACTGTTTTCACATTCAATATCTGAAACACCGAAAAAGACAAACTGGGCCATGTCATCAGGGTCAACTTTGGATTATTGCTAAGTAACAGTTTCCAGCTAATGTCTCAATTAGGAACAGCTGTGGCTTAGATTAAGGAGTGCTTTTTTGTTTAGTCTCTTAAGAAACCCATATAACATCCGCTTCATATAACGCTGAGTAGAGAAAAGGCATTCAGTGCCAACAGAATGTCGTCCATGCCAAGAAACGAGGCACGTGCCAGTGAAGGACTACTTGAGAATACGCATACTATAACCCGGTTCATATTACGAAGACTGGTTTCTCGATTTCAATGACCCTTCTAAACAACAAATATCTATTGAGCGATCTTTTCTTTCATTTTCTCGTAGCCACATCCTACTTTTGCATAACATATATTAAACCATACGAGAGTGCACGAAGGACTTTGGTGTGTGCACTTTGTATGCTATATATGAACACACACGAAGGTAGGCAACTGGTGTGATCATCAAAGTCTGTTAGAAATGACCTCTTTATTTTGCTCCCTCTAGAAATACATTTTGCCTCCTCTTTCTGACCAACTCACTCATAAACTTTCATGAGAATCAGGTTTTACGTAACACCGACATTACCTTTATTTTGCGGTTGTCCTATCAGGTACTGAACGCACTGAGTTAAAAAATATCGCCCTTCAACCATCAAAATTGTGCATAGCGGGTTTCTAAAAAACTGTTTGTCTGAGGGATAAGAGCGGATGCCGTTTTTGAAACTACAACGGCTCATATTTTTTTTCCTCTTTGTCGAACCTATGCTAAACAAAGTGAATCACTTTTGTTTCATGAACACCTCAATGTGAACTGATAAATCAGGTTATCTGGTGAGCATCGTTGCCTCGTCAAAGGTATAGCCAAGCACACTTTTTTCTTTTTGTATTCACAGCTGCTTTCTGTTTTTTGCTGCCGTCGTATACCTCTTCCTTACCCACATCCAATCCCCGTGCTATCGTTTCAGCAAACCAGACCTTGCTACGGCAGGCTTGGAGTGGCCGGCATACACGGCGGAAGATCGTCGACTCATCGCTGTGAACTCGCGCAATTACTCCATTGTTAAAACGTCGAAAAGTGATATTTGCGATCTGTGGAAGAAGGCCGTCGTAACAAGGTAATATAGTCTATGAATTTAGTAGTACAGGGAAAGCAAAATCGGGTGCTTTAAATGACCTCGGCGATAGTCAAACGTTAACACGGTGACAAAACAAGGTCAACCGTGGCTCTGACGAAAGTGGTGCAAAGCTAAACTAACAGTGTCCGCTGCCTTAAACCAAGCTTCTTTGAAGTCTGGCTGTTTCCCTTAATCAAACCCTGATGCTGGAAGCACAAGTGCGCCGCAATAAAAAACTGTTGAAATTTCGTGAATACCAAAAAGCTGCTTTCCGCAGCATTATGTTATACATTGAAGAATTTAACTTTTCCCTCTACGGTTTCTACTTCAATCTAAACCGCTCCATGCTTCGCTGCTAACCGCTTAACAGTCGAGATGCAACACTACACTTGTGCAATGTTGCGAAAATGTGGGCGACATTTTGATCATGCTGCCACGCTCATTTAATATCAAATATATTGGTATGAATTACGCCGCTTTTTTGTTCTAAACGTGGCTCATGCGTACTCAGCTTTTTGTAATGTGCTACTCTCCGGCAAGAAGGCTGCTACTTTTGTTCATGTGGTAGGTTCATTTTATAGCGTTAACAATGCACCATAGCGGGTCTTCTTGTTTATATTCCAGACACCAGTCTCCCAACAACAAATGTATGAACAATACAAGTGCCAGCCATCAAAATCCGCAATGGCTACTGAACTGAAAGACCACGTAGAATAGTGAGCGAGTGCTTCCCACTCAAGGAAAAAAAAAACGGGTTATGTTTATATATTTGTATGGTCGTCAGTACTGCATGCATTGTTGAACGTAAATATTTAAAAAAAGTAATATGTATAATACACAGATAACCATCTTTTATTTACCATTATTGACGTAGCATTCGAGGCAACACCGAAAAAGACTTTACTTATACAGCATGAAGTGTCAAAATGCAAATAAAACTTGTCAACGGTCTACGTCCTAAATGTCAGCAGAAATCTTGGGCATCACGGACGTCAATTTTAAACAATCGCAATGAGGTAATAGGAAGGAGTTGTATTGCTGAAAGCGATGGAAAATCATTCAAATAATAATGTAGTAAGGCCGAATGTGTAGGGAATTTGTTATACAAGCAATTAGTTATAGAGTTGAGATAAACAATAATAAAGGAGCCTTCGGATTCATTGCCATTGTTAGGTGACAAGGTGTAGAAAAGCTAAAAAACGTAGCAAGCTGAAACGCGTCGCATTTACACTGATTATGATCATCGAGGTATGGAGTCACATTACAGTCTATAGGTGCTACAGTACTAGATAGCGGTGAACTACTCTAGAGGGAAAAACTCTGTAGCATTTGGTAAGCTTTAGTTTGAAAGAAAAAAAATCGCCGTGGTTATTGTTAAGTTGACAAAACTTCAGTTATCTTTGTGAAATTTTTACGGCCAGAGAATCAAAATAAATTCGGCGCTTGGAGTTCATTGCAAATCTTGAAATCTTTCCTTCATTTTGAAGCAGTAAAAAACGCTTCGCGATAGCAATTCGTGGAGACACTCAAGCTAAATGTTTTTTTTATTTGTTGCCAATATATATATATATATATATATATATATATATATATATATATATATATATTGTTGGGACAGGACAGTACAAAAGAATGCCAATATTCCCGAGGAAAGTTTATTTGTGCATGTTCATATGTCGACACACAAGTGTCTCCTAGCTAGTTCTGTTATCTCAGTTGGAAGAAGATGGCACTGCATGTATGTACGCAAGCTGTCGTATCAGTAATAACATGCTATACACATAAATAATGATATATTTGATAAAAAGGCACAAGATTTCACACAAATTCGTGCTAATGTATTAATGAATAGTGGTTGAGGCCATCTTAGGGATTTGGACTGCCGTACGGTTAAAACAGTAGGAATAAATACATGAATGATTGATATGGTGGGTGATTAAAGTCTCAAAACTATCGTATAATTTTGACAGACGGGGGATAAACACATATGAAGCATAAAAATCATTAGACGTCATGGCGTTTGACTACCAAGGTAGCACCGAGAAAGACCTATGTTAAGAATTTATTTATTTCAGTTTTATTTTGGGGGCGAGGTTTGAATACGAGCAGCACCAGGATAAAACGCTGTCTCTGTAGCTTGCCAATTATACACGGTTAAACACGAATTGAGAGATAGAGAGTCCAGTATGATGTAATCACCGCGTGTATGAGGCCAATATGACAGATTATTTTTTTTTTCTGCGAACAAAAATTATTTCGAGTGCTTTTAGAATCTGTGCCCTGTATTAGAATATGAAGAGTGCCTGGTGAAAATATTTTATGCATTCATGCAGTGAAACAAGCACCGAAATTCCGGCTGTGGCACCAGCTCCAAGACAGCCGGAGAATTCTCTGCCTTCAAAGAAGAAGGGGTCAGAAGTGACGCATTCCACATCAGGATCATCTATTGCAATGCCGTGGGAGCTGTTCACTGTTTTTATTGCATTTCGTTTGATCTAGGACATAAATTTTGAAGACGTTACACGAAATAGCGCGCTAATTTATACTGTTTGAACGAAGCCAAAAGCTTTTGCTTCTAGTCCCACTAAGAGCCTAATCAAAAAAAAGACTGAAATACAGAGCATGCGGTACGTAAATACACGTGACCTTTCGAGAATTTTATTAACAGGTGCTCAGCTAAGTATTCTAGCGCAAGGCCACGCCAATGCTGGAAACTACTTTGGCAAAAAGTCCTGATAGTGACGCCACGTAAAACATTGAGACTCATTTATCAGGCGCACTATTGCGTGGCAGAATTGTTGAATGCAGCAGCTGTCCCAACAGGGGAATTTCGTAGAGAGTGAGTGATGCGAGGCTTCTCACTTATTACAAAGGGCGTAGCTGCAATTTTTCATCACCATTTCTAACAATATCATCAACAAAATGCAAAGCTAAGTAGGTGGGTGTATTGCCCTACATACACGTAGTATGTGCTTCGCTATAGTCTGCACACCACTGAAAAAGTCCTACAGAAGCACAAACACTACCATAACGCACTCAAAGGTTCAATGTCATGGAAACACATGGGCTTGCTCTGTTTGGTTCACATTTTTTACATAATGAAAGCCAAGATTGCTTTGTTCTGTTATGAGAGTGCAACAGGTAGTGATTTTTTTAGCTATTACCTGTACTTAAGCAGGTGAATACAAACCTCGAGGTCAATATTTGCGTAAATGGAGGCGGCACAACGTAAGACCACTGCAACACAACACAAGACTGCCTTGGTACATTTTAATGTAAGTAATTACTTAGAATTATTCTCTGGGAGTCTTATGTCTAGCCGCAAGGCCGTGGTTCAGCGCAGCGAAGTCGTTTAAGCGTGCACGTACGCCCTATCTTAGAAGTAATCTGCGGTAATTTCGAAGGTTCAGTCAGCCGAGACAGCTAATGGGTTCGTGTGAACTGTCTCTCCAGACATACCGGGATCTTAGTACCCCTCGATGTTTTTCTGCGCAAGTTGCACTGCACCACCACGTTGACAGAAGCGAGGCTATTGCCAGTGGAGAACCCGGCCACGCAACGTGTGCTGTCCGACATCGAGAACGTACAGAGTTCCAGACGGTAGCCCCATCCTCGAGAGATTTTGACAACACCGTCGTTAAATAATGGGAGGCGCGATCCAACTCTCGGAATACCTGAGCGTGGAAGCACCCCTATGTATATCCTGCTAAAGTTGGCCCGGGGCCATAACACGCGGCTATCCCGAGCATCTGCGGGACACAATTTGCGCTGGAGCAATTCACGCGAGCCGTCCTGTACGAAAACAAAGTTTCGGACCACTTCTGAGCATACATCTACGCCTCTGTGCAGCCAGACGGCCGCTTTATTAGTGTGGAAGTCTCCACAACACTCCATCTTCTTGAACATGAACTAGTGACTCATCGGGACCCATCGAGTCTAAGCATGAGCATCAATAGTTTTCTAGAGGTGTCACTACACCCACCGCTAAGTGCATGGCTGTACGACATTGTTACACGGGCTGTACGGCCAAGTAACATCCAGATAAGGGGCTGCGGTTACCAACAGGTGTAGGATATACCCAACAAAATCTCCACAGTCATAAACAAGGGAATCTATGTTCGATTGTCATGGCTCACAGGTACCGAGGCACTGCTGTGTGCGAGGCCATGATATCCCCAGTGATCCAGCGGCACCTGTAGACCCGCTGCATCCTGTAGGTGTACCTATTCACAGCATAAACATGTGTCCCGCTATTTGGTGCAATCTGCGACCGCAGCACCTTGAACCACGTATCAGGAGAGAAGGTACATGCAGTCGCAGAAAACTAACTTTAGTGCCACCACCTCAGCAAGCGTAGATATACTGCGCCGGGGTCCAACATGGCCCAGAGTAATAAGCGTCTTTTTTATTGCACCACAACCAGCTTATATATTACACGAGCTAAAAGAAAAGACTCTCGCGGTAGCGTGTCGGGCGCATGTGGAAGCAAGCGCACAAGCTTCGAACAACACTCCATGGACACTCGCCAACACTTGTCAAGTGGAGATCTTCCAACACTTTTTCCTGCACTTGAAGCACATCGAGAGGAACTAGCGACCTGCTACCATGCGTAGGGACTGTCGACCCATGGCACTGAGACCCTCCCATGGTCTCGCCCTACCCTTAAATATCCATGCGACTTCATCGAGTAGTCCGGTCTCGGCTCTTGGCGGCTCTCCGTGACTTGACAGTGCCGGTGTGTGGGGCCGGCTGACGACCCCTTTAGAGGTTGTCTCTTCACAACCGATCAAAAGACATTACGTCCTTCTGTCATTATGTGTAAATGACAATTACACCGATTTGTAGACATGTCTAAACAGACATCCTCTATCCTCTCCCTGTCCTATAGCAACTAATAGGGGCTTTAACTTAATGCCCGGTTGTTTCTTAAGTACCGGGTCGTATATTAAAGATTTACAAAAACTATTAGGAAAGGTATTTGCCTTCCAGCTATGCATGTATTCATTTCTCGTGATTCATTGTCTCCGTCTGTACGTGAAACATAAAAAAAAGAAATATTTGCTATAATATAAATAAATAAATCGAAGCAATATGTTCATATAGAAGCCTCTTGTTTCTATAGATTTTATGCGCATTAAGAACTTCGGTGTCTACTTTTAAGACATGCACAAGGTTACAAGGAGATACAGAGTGCGAAGCAGGACATAACTACGAAATAGCGTGAACCACCCATCACCTTTCCGCTCAGTCAATAATCGAACAGCAGTCGTATGACTAAATAAAACATGCTGCGACGAAAGGAACAACAGCCTACAGGTCATCTGAAGAAACCTTCTTAATGTCTGTTTGCACAAAGAAGTTAAAAAAAGGCCTACCTACAACAAAAACTCCACATTAGAACACGCTACATGCGAATACTTCAGCAAAGCTGTCGCTTCTGCTGAAAGAACGTAGCTCATATGAGATTTGCACTATAAAAACAAAGCTTAGATTGTGTGATGACACCAATATTGAACAATGAAGATCATGGCAATTCTTCTTTACTCGTTCAAAGGCGACTCACAATGAGTAAAGTAAAACGGAAGGGGGTGACCGAGTTGCGATAGAAGGAACAAAAAGTTCACGCTATCAGACCCTGCCATGCGGGGTCGCATGAAATCGAGTTTTCTAACGGCGTGTTCGGTTGGCCGCTCTGGTCCTCTGGCCCAGAGTCGCCAGATTCGGCGGCAGCTCACAAACGGAGTGCGATAGAAAGCGTACCAACCGAACTCATCGGCGATGTCAGAGCGCCCAGAGCAGTGCACCTGCAGCGCCACCGTGCAGCCAGCGCGGGAAGCTGCCGGGCAAACATAGGTGCGCCGCGTCAACATTGTCAACAAATGGTGCCGATCACTTCAGTGGACATCTGTGACATGTCTTACCTTTGTCATATTCTTCGTCTCTCTGACATGTCTGGATGTAGTGAAAGCCTTCTGAGCTCAGCACATAATTCTGACGATCGTCCTCGTCCGAACTGCTATCTTCAAGGCAAATCACGGGGCTTTTTGCGAGCTGCTGTAACGACAGCATTGACGTCTGCTCCGCCTTGGCTAGCCGCCTCGTTATTGACATGGTGCATTTATGGCTTCGTGGATGTCAATTCACCCCACACACGCGCGAAAACGCCATTAACAACACACGTATGCGAAGTACTACGCGCCTAGCGATTCCCCCTTCCGAAATGCACGCTCGCGCTCCTCACCTCGTTCCCCTGCTAGCAGTAACGTGATTGGCTGGCTTGTGCCACGTGATTCGTCCTCCCCGTCAGATCGCGCCACGCTCTCACTTCGAAGTCGCAGTGGTCGGGAGCGCTCCGAGTCAGAGGCTGACGCTCTGAAAGAACCAACCGAAGGTAGTCCGAGCGCTCGAATTCTACCAACCGAAGGTGCAGCGACTTTTCAGAGCGCTCCACAGCGCTCAAAAACGCCCAACCGAATACGCCATTAGTACACTCCTCATATGTAGTGAACGTTACAATTTGTATTTCCTCCTTTTCTGAAGAGTCACACGACAGTTCCTGCTTTTCTAGATAGTTATATCGACAGTTGCACAGGTATCACTCCGACCCCCGACTCCATTTTTTTAGATGCGAATCAGCTCTTTGACCAGCCTATGTAACGCTGACCCTCCGTTCGAACGCGCCGCGTACCGCAGGTGTTGGCGGGGTGCCAAGTAGGTAAGGCCACTGCTTCACGTTGACCTTATCCCTCACCTGTTCGCGCTCACCGCGGTGCCCGCAGCTGCCACTTCGTTCATTCGCTCGCAACACCTGCCGCGACCACCGCTAACTAAAACCATTGACTGGTCAGTTCACGCCCAATCAACTGTACTCGCACCTACCGTACGCGTTGAAACATCTCTGTACATGTCGCCTACACGACCTACGCCAGCCATCACTTAAAACGAATCTTCCATCACTCACCGCAGCACCCGCGTCAGTGCCATTCAACCCGTAACGCCACCCATGCGCAACGCTGCTTCTTCGCATTCCATCAGGGTTCCCTTTGCAGCGACGTCCCCTAGTCGAACGTGCTTCTGGTGTGTAAAACACCAACAGTTAATTATAATTGTAAGAGTTTAACATCTCAAAACCACCCTATGATTTTAAAAGAGGTCGCAGTGGTGGGTTCCCGGCATTTCAATCCTCTGGGGAGCTTTATTCTCCAACAATTATTATAAGGACATACTTGAGGAACAGGTGGCGCAATTTCAGCCTGTATATATGCCAGAATGAAGACACGTTGCAAGCCATCCTATTTATTTGGATTAGAAAAGTACGAAGGTATAAAGCAGCCATGCACTAGGTGCACTAAACCATTAAGAGTGTTTATCAGTGTATAAAGATGTTTGCACGCAATTATCACATAAGCGAATGAGCCCCACTTCGATATATAGTTGAAAGAAAAACATTGGCCGAGATCATGTACCTTAGGCATGAATTTTTTATGGAGGGAATGTGGTGTAATTTCTTTATTGATGAAAACGTTACAAAGTGACGCTAAAGATATAAACAAGTGTACACATAGAAGATATGTTGATAAGTCGCATATGTTTCACGTACCGTCATAGGCATGCGCAGGCGTCTCTGTCAGGGGAGGGGGAATGTTTGTCGCAGCACCCTCCCTCCTCAATATGTCAATGTATGGGGATGACTTCACGCCCCCCTCCCTTAAGAGATTTGGGAGGATGGCCCTCCCCTCTGACCAACCCCATACGCACGCCTTTGTTTACAGTTGCGTATACAGTGCGTAATACGAATGACCACACCAGCAATGGTGAGTTGATACGTAACGCTTGTTCTCGCGAAGATAGCAGCCTTTTACACAGGTACTTAAGTCATCTTCAGTTGATCGCACTTAGCTCCTGCTGGGATTTACCCGACGCGATGGCTGTATCATAAGAGAGCGTACGTAATCTTTATAAAATTAGATAGCCAGCCCTGCAGCCATACATGATGTTTCATAAATATTAAGGCCTCTTTCAACAGCAGTTCCGAGAGACATGGCGCAGTTCTGTGCTACAATGCTTGATTGCCACGCACTCCTTTGGTCCAATTCCTGCTGGGACTCTGACATTTATGCTTTGCATTTCTTGAGTCAACGCAGCTGATGTAAGTTTTTTCTTAAACTTAAATTTGCCGCTGTCTGTCTTCACAGTTCCTAGGTAGAGAAACTGTTAATCACCTGTGGCACATATCCCCCAGCAAACCTTGGCACGTGCAATACAGGCACGTGCCAAATGTGCCTGGAGGAAAGGGCTTGACGACTTACAAGTTATTCATCTTATGAGTCATGAACATCGAGTCATATTCGTCAAACCATCTTTCGCCCCCGTACTAATTTTGGTCTAGCCCAAGTTAAGGGGGTGATTACACGAGCGCCTAGACGTAACGGACGGACGGACGGATGGACAGACAGACAGACAGACAGACAGACAGACAGACAGACAGACAGACAGACAGACAGACAGACAGACAGACAGACAGACAGACAGACAGACAGACAGATAGATAGATAGATAGATAGATAGATAGATAGATAGATAGATAGATAGATAGATAGATAGATAGATAGATAGATAGATAGATAGATAGATAGATAGATAGATAGATAGATAGATAGATAGATAGATAGATAGATAGATAGATAGATAGATAGATAAATAGATAGAACACTCAAAGTGACAGCAGTACGCAAAGAATGCTTCACCTTTAAAACTTGATGATTGATATGTGGGGTTTAACGTCCCAAAACCACCATATGATTATGAGAGACGCCGTAGTGGAGGGCTCCGGAAATTTCGACCACCTGGGGTTCTTTAACGTGCACCCAAATCTGAGCACACCTTTAAAACTTGAATACTCGCTTTTATGCATGTAATCATTTCTACAGTAAAAGCGTGAATTTTCTTCAGCATGATTTTCGACGCAAATTTCGACAGTAGGCAAACCATAGAACCTAGTTTCTCATTATCACATAACATTGACATATTCGCTAATGACACATAGATGTGCTCTTTAGAAGAGACTTAGCAGTCACTGTTCTTTAACTAATAATCAATCCTGATATAACACTGTCGACATAGGCAGCACATAGAAGAAAGCAAGGGTCATTTTTGTGCAGTTACTAGCTTGCGCAAACCAGAAATCATCAAAGCGATGAGTTGAGTGGGGCGGGACACCAGGAAAATGTTTAGAAAAGTGTGAAAAGGCGCGATTCTTCGCTTCTTCTTGCTCTGACACTTGATGAAAAGCGTTGAAAGTCGCATTTTGACAAATATTGACACGCGCTACTGCCACGCAATTCAGTGTCACAAGAACGTGGTCATAAAGCAGTCTATTCAATGAACTCGTACTTTTCTTTGCTCCCATCACAGCACGTCAATGGTACGAGTTGTGTCGAGGCCGAGTTGTTGAATTGGTACAAAGAAAGGAAAACCATTTATTTACACGAGGCAGTGTGACATCATAGCTAACCTTTTATGCTGTGTCATAAAAAAAAAAAGCCGGAAAGGCGACATAACTTGCGAGTTTCCGCCATGGACTAGTGTAACGTTGCCGAATGAGGCACTTCTCTCTATCGACCTCGAAGTCACAGACGCCCTTGACGCAAGAACCACGACTTCCTTGTTTTGGCAATTTGTCAGCACTATGGGAGATTCACAAGAAACATTTTCGTTCCCAACGGGACCCTACACCTCAGCTTGTCACAATCGCGCAAGAGGCACTCAGTTGCAGACTACGTACGTCGCCACCAGTGTACGATCGATCGAGTACAGCTGTCATCATGCGAACGGCTGGCGTTGGGCCGTCCTTACACCGGCTGCATTTGTGCAGCGCGCTACGCATGGTGTTCTCGGCAGTGTTGTTAATCATCTGTTTGTTCCGCGAATGTGCAACGGGAACTGAAGAACCAATGGCCATCACCGACACGGGAAACGTAACTGGAGTGCGCATTGAGATAGGTGGCCGGAAAATTGATGCATTTCTCGGAATACCCTACGCCGAACCGCCGATTGGAGAACTTAGATTTCAAAAACCGCGACCCGCGAATGCGTGGAATGGAACCTACCAGGCGACCCAGAAGCCAACGCCTTGCAAACAGCTACTTCTACCCATTTTTGCCGGTATAACACTGAATTACTCAAGCGCCTCGGAAGATTGCTTGTACCTCAATGTGTGGCGACCAGCGTCCGCTTGTGAGACAGCGGAATCCTGCGAAAAAAATTTACCGGTGGTGGTGTTTCTTGACGGCAACGTGTTTCAGTGGGCCGACTCCTCGCTCTTTGTAAACGACCCGGCGAATTTCGTGGCTTTGACTGACGTGGTGTTTGTGACGCTCAACTACAGAGTTAGCATATTTGGCTTCCTCTCCTTAGAAGACTCGGATATCCCTGGTAATATGGGTCTTTGGGACCAGAACCTGGCTCTCCAGTGGGTGCAGGCGAACATAAAAAGATTCGGAGGTGACCCAAATAATGTAACGCTGAGTGGGCAGAGTGCAGGCGCAGCATCTGTTGGATTGCATGCTATTTCGCCCCACAGCAACAACTTATTCAAAAGGATCGTCATGCAAAGCGGAAGCCCGTTGTCTCTCGTGATAGGGCTGTTCTTCAAGGGAGTCGGGAAGTTTACCACTATAACCGGAAATCTCGGTTGTTACGACTTGAAAAGGACGCTGGACGAACAGAAGAAAGACATTCTGAGTTGTCTTCAGAAAAAAGAAGCCGCACGTATCGCTGACGATGTCCAGAGGGTCGATTTCATCAAGCAAATGTTCGCCCCAATCAACAGAGATGACTTCTTGCCTTCGAGGGTCTTATCTGTAGACGCCTACAACAACCTTAGCACGACCGAAATATTGTTGGGCACCGTCAAGAATGAAGGACATGTGTTTCTCAGCCACCTCAAGAACGCCTTCCCACGATTCGGAGAGTTGATCTTATCCGAATACAGACTGGTAGCCATCTTGGTCATGTCACAGATGCTGGACATTCCCGTATGGCAAAGTCGCATGATTGCGACAGAATATTTCGGTGGTCCCGACGAAAAACGAAAGGCGCCCGACGAAATAGAAGCCATTTTCGCGGAAATGTTCGGTGACGCCATATTCTACTGCCCCTCGCAAATCATGGCGGACATCTTGACTCAACATCAGGGCGTCAATGTTTATCGATACGTGTTCGTACATCGTCCTTCGTACAGCCTTTGGCCCGAATCGTTTGGTGTGGCGCACAGTGACGATCTTCCCTACACCATGGGATCCTTGCTGTTTGTCAACGACACGACTCGGATCACGGCTCCGTTCGGACCGAAAGGTAAAGAGGCACTTTCTTCTGCGAGCTACACCACGGACGAAAAAAGCTTCATGGAAGAAATCGTCACTGCTTGGGGAACTTTCTACACAGACGGGTGAGCAAACCAGATCATAGCATGGGCACTCGGTATGCGCCTGTATACCTGGTCTTTAAAGAAAGGTTTCCAAAAACTCACAAACTTCAGCGCAATGCGATATTCATTCTATGCCTTCCCAATTACTCTCTCTGTATAGCCACTGGCTCTCTAAGATGACTGAATACATCCTACAAAGCCATAAATACGAAAGTCAAATATTTACTTATTACTTACTAATTAGGCAATGATGTCCAATAGCAAAATTGAAGTCCTTCATGCGAATAATTCATTGTAGCTTTGAGACTTCAAAAAAATACCTCAAGGAATACTTGCGAAGTTCAACCAAAATCAGAGGCGAAGCTGAAAACAAAACGTAAAAAAGCGAAGCTGCCAAATTTTTCTGAGATGATCATAATGAGTGAGTGTCGTTATAGCGACCATCATCAGCCATCTCCAAAGTGTGTGTTTGTGGGCTGCGCTTGCAATTGTAAGACGCATGGTGCACATACGTCCACTAACGCGAACTAACTATCTGAAGTGTCGGAAGTCTCGTTCCGCCTTAATACATCTGCGCTGAACACTTCAGACATGTCAAACCGACAAGGCCAAAGGCCAGCCCTTGTGAAAGAACTACACGTCCGTAACCATTTTCTTGTACAGCAACATCATTCTGATCACCTGCGTGTCGAGCTAATTGATGATTCTGTTGCAGTTTCATTATTCATTATTGCTGAATTTCATTGCACCATAATAAACAGTAAAGGCTGGTTTTTCCCAATCTCAAAGCTGCGATGGCTTCTCCGCACGAAATACTTCATGTCTACCATATCATGTAACGGTCTAACTCCACTAATTAAAAAGTAAAGTGGTTTAGCATTCGTCGTTATTGTCCCAAATATTGTCTTTATTAAGCTTAAAATGATTGTCACTACACAGAAAAAAACAACCGAGAGGGCATCAATCGAATATTGCATTCCGCCGAATTTCGAGGATTTTAGGAACATTTTATGAAACGCATGATATATATATATATATATATATATATATATATATATATATATATATATATATATATATATATATATATATATATATATATTTATATATAGGGTACAGATGCAATCTTATGTGTTTTATTTACGCTTAGACTCTCCACTTTCAATGACTCTTAGTTACGTTCGGGGGTAAATTTTTTACAGACCTAGACGACGATTTACAATCCTTGGCTTTTTTAATCACCACGTGAATTCTGGCTCATTGTTTCTTCAATAAGTATTCGCATAACTATAATTTAATGTCATTGGAAGCAATACTCAAAAGCCAATAGGTTTATGTTAGCATGCACCATATTATTCTACAAGTGAATTGCAAAATTTTCTTCCCCTGTTACGCATATGAAGTGCACTTTGACACCTAGAGCTCTCTTTACAACGTGAGCCATAATTCCAAGAAGCGGGGACGTTTCAAAAGTAATACGAAAAATTAGTTATCTTTGAGGTTTGACATCCGGCATATTGACCTGTCACGTAAGGATTTCGAGTGAAAGATATTGATACATTTTTAAAGGCGAAATCCTCAGATGCCTTATAAAATGTTCAAATTGGCCATCGACGTCGACGTCTGGAGGCGTCAAGAAGAGTAATGCAAAAAAAAAAACACACCTTAACGTAATGACGTCCCCATATGACGTCATCATGACGTCACATACCACCATAGTTAGTGAAGTCATGATGTTATACTATGATGTCACCAGATGACATCTTCTATTGGTAAAGGGTGGATTGATCACGGAGTCAATGCAAAACCAGGTGAATGGCTCTGATCTTGAAGGCAGTTGAAAACAGCGCTTGGTGCCAGAATACCGGCAATGAAAGCGAGGAGCATCGATATATTAAATAAGAAAAAAAAGAAGACTTTTGCCATTGAGTTTTCTAAGGTAAATACACAAGCCACCCTATGAGTCTCTTCCTGCTTGAGGTGGTATTTTTGTCGGGCATATTATACACGTAGGTTTCAGAGGAAATGAAATAAAGGACTAGCTTGTCCACAGGGCCAGGGTTGTTTCGCAAAAAATTAACGTGTTAAATTATCGGCACAGATTTTAAACATGCGGCATTTCAATGTTTACTCTTTTTCTCGTTTTCAAGGCCATGTGGATACGTGCACAAATTTAAAGCTCTTAAAACTAACATTTTCTTTCGGAGGTAACACGCAGTGGGAGAATGCAAGCCCTTAATTATTGCATTTTCCCACGCAGAACTACATTAGGCGTGTCGCTTTTTGTTCAGGCTCTTCGAACCAAATGTTTCATTGCTGGTTTATTACCCTGCATTCACCTCGTTCGTGTGAGTGCGTCTATTTCACTAAGTTTGTCAATGAAAATATAACTGCGTAGTCACAATTGATGCACCAAGAGTGTATATTTGTAGAGTGTGTGCTTAACTTTCCCGTCCATCAATTTATCAAATGACGTCACATCATCGAAGCATTTGTTGAAACAAAGAGGGCTTCTTCGACATCAACGATCTGTGCGGCCATATGAAACGTTCACACGTTTGAGAAAAATTGCCGACGAAAGCAGGGAAACAGCATAATATATAAACTTGCAGCAGTCGCTATAGCACATGGCTGAACTACTTTAGAAGTGTTTGACAAGCACACTGTCGGGACGCGAGAAATTATATAATTAAGCTGATCTATGACCCCCACTGGATAGACGCAAGAAAAAAAAAACAGAGAGAGAAGCAATGGTAGTGTTTGTACTACCTAAGAAGCAATAAAAAACCAGCCCACAAGCGTAGTACACCGTTAATTTTAAAACAACTATCAACAACCAACCTTCAAAATTATTTAACGCATAATAATTGAAGTTTCTCTACAATGCGGTGTTCCTAAAATTACAGGATCCACAGTTATAGCAACGGTACTTAAATGATGGGATAACCAAAAACCTAAATTAATGGTTTCACCTATCACGTGCGAATTTTCTGAGTACCACTGTTGGCTCATTCATGGGCTTTGTACCCTCTGTAATTTAGAAAAAAAAACATCATTGTTATGCTTCTTTTAAAGAATCTTGAAAGATGGCACGCAACATTACTCATTTCCATTCAGCCACGAAATTATTCTCTGCTTTGTCAAACGAAATATCAGGCCAAAATGACGTGAGCGAAGTATTTTCAAGCGTGTTGGACTCTTCAACATTCTGAAGAGCACCTCTCTGCCCTGAATATTTGTTCAAGTAATGGCGGCATCTGTCGTGATTTTAGCGGAGACGCGGTCCTCGTTGAACGTGTTGGGCTTATGTATAATTGGGTGTTTATATCAAGAGAGACGACTAGTCATTTTCCGCGTCATTGCGTAAGCAAATCACGATTTAACAGGCTATTCATTGTAAGTGAAGCCGTCATTAGTTCTTCAGTCCACATAACAAAAAAGGTATCTTTACAATGTTGAAACGTGTCTATAGAGCCCTCAGACACGTTGACAACTACGTGTTGTTTTTACCGACAAAGGACACACAAAACGCTCACTAAATACACATCTTACTATAGTTACACAATGCAGTAATTCCACCAATAACTCCATAAAGAAAAGTTTGGGTTATCTATGTATTATGAAGTCACTTTATTGCATTTCCAGAACACTGAAATTTAGTAGCCTGGTCACGTGCTCACAGTCCTCGACGGCGCCACATCGTTCTCCTCCCTTCGCTCGCTTGTCTTAGAGATGATATATAATGCTTCTCTCCTCAGGGTACCCTTCTGAACACTTGTAGCTTCACATTTCCAGTCGCTCTGGTGCCCTCGGAATACGACTATAGCAGCTGCGTGGCATACAGTCTTGAACGACTTGCGAGTGTTGGGTGGGCTGCGTTTTCCCGGCGTTCCTGATTCAGAGGCCTGATCTAGTTACGTACTAGCAGGTGAACCAAACGCTGTGGACGCGTCTTCTGTCACATGCTCGACACCTGAATTTAGTCTTGTAAGAAAACGGGTGTCTTCATGTGAACCGTCTCTTCGCCACGAATAATAGGGTGCTTCTTGAACGGCGGTTTCAATTTCCGTTTACCTTCTCTTGATATTATCTACATTGCGCCTGTGCCCCCGGCGTCTTTGGTACCAGTTACAAATGACTGATTGCAACATTCTTCAAATACTGTAGCGGCTAGCCAAGCGGGGTTGTTAAGAAAATTTTTAACCCACACCTTGTTGCCTGGCGCATAATGCCCTGACATGTCATCCACCTTTCCCTTTTGGGTAAATTCTCGTAGATGTAGCGCATCCATATGGGGCAGCAGCTGTCTTCCAAGCATTAGCTCTATAGGTGTTTTCTGCGATGTGGTGTGAGGCGTCGTATGGTGCTTGAATGGAAACTTCGATAGCCGGCAGGAAAGGTTTCCATCGGTCAATTTCTTGAGAGCTACTTTCGAGATACCGTAAATTATAGTTTCCGATAACGGAATGGCATTCGTTTTATCCGAAATGCAGCACTTCTTCAAGCTGAACATGATCAAGCTCGAACATCAGATTCATCATCATCAGAGCCACTTTCACTTTTGCTACCATACGTCCCACTTGCCCATTTCATTTGCAGCCGGGTGATACGAATTCGATGTTATGAGCTTGATCATGTTCAGCTTGAAAAAGCGCTGCATTTCGGAGGAAACGAATACCGTTCCGTTATCGGAAACTAAAATTTACGGTATGTCAACAATAGCGAACAGTGATCAAAGCACATTCATTGCAGCAAAAGTGAACTGTGCGGAACTTGGTTTCCCTTGAACCACTTCGAGAATGCATCCAAAACAATTAAAAAATCTTGTTGTTCACCGGCTCCACGAAGCTAACGTGAACGACCTTCGATGGTTCACTTTAGCGGGGTCATTCCAAAATCACAACCGCAGAAGTAAGGCGGCTGAGCACTTGACATGTCTCGCATGATCACACTGTCGACTCTATGTCGGCTCCTAAACCAGGCCACCACAAGTGACTGCAACCGAAACGTTTCATCGTCGC